ATAAACGTAAGTGTTCGGCCACGGTAGCCAGTGTGGTTCCGACGCTCCTGATGTCAAGCATATAGGATGAATAGGTTTTACTGAACGTATGAGTAAACACCATGTTAACCCTTTAAATATTTACATAAATAAACATAAACATGACTACTCTCTAAATAAATGCAAAATATTGCCTTAAGATATTCTTAATAGTGGAAACTTATAAGGTATTTCGCTTCTTCTCCGCTGTATAGTATTCACTGTATTGGATAGAGCAAATAAATCCACTGATGGAGTGATGACTCGGGCGCTCTCTCACTCTTGCTTAAACTGTTTTTTAAATATTTTTTTTAAAGTCAAATCTGTTAGTCCTCGTAGCTAGGTAGACATTCCCAACTGTAATCTAAAGGGCTTTGTTTACAATCTGTTACATTTTTCCTACAGTTACCAGATCGATATCACGAAAAAAGTTCTATTAGAATTATGATAAACGACCTTAAGCCAAACAGATTCTACAAGTTCTACATTCGAAGTCGGTATGTACGTCCAGGTAACAGCTTCACTAGTTGGACGTCTGTAAGAAACAAAACACATGAAAGTAGTAAGTACAGTATTTTACCTCCGCCAAGGAGGTTATGCATTCACCGCTATTAGCCTGTTTGTCTATATCGGGCTGTCTTCCTGTGCAAAAACTGTAGCGTGTCTACTAGGAGTCTTGGAGAGTGGGGGGGGGGCTGATGGGCGTGCGAAGGTGTAATGGGGCGGGGGCACAAAATAATTATTTGAGCTGATTTTTAGCTACTTGAGCTTGATTTTTTGCATGCCTACCTTGGAGGAGGTCTCGAGTATTTTTGGGGACGTACGCCTCCACCCCCATGCACCCCTACGCCACTGTGCAAAAGCTAAGGAATGGATCATAATAAAAGTTACCGGTATTGTAATGGTACATAATAATCTAAGTAAGGGGGGGGGGGATTAACTTCAGGGAGAAAACGTCAAAGGACAAGGTCAATGTCGTGGAAAAATTGATTTCCCCTAAACTCACCCTCGAGCATAAAAAGAAACAATGGGATCTCCCACACACGACCTCCGTATTGTTCGATATCCACACAAAGGGCGGAGGTATGTATTTTATTGTGTGACTGCTCTAGTTTTTAAAATAGTTTTTAGGCCAAAAGCCCAGGACAGGCCAAGCAGTGAATTTAATCACCTTCCAAAGTGGCATATCCCTTTACAAAGCAACATACACCGAAGATGCTCTACAGTTTTCATAAATGAAGCAACATTATCAAGCTCAAGGAGTAGGTGAGCTGTTTTTGGTGGTGAGAAGTCGTCAAACCAAGGATCGACCCCGGCATCTGAGGGAAAGCTGCTTAATGTACTTTCGTGCATTATGAGACGTCTATGAATACACTCTGAATTCATTGTATTTCCCTACTATACTATTAATACTACAATTAATATTTATAATAATGATGATGATGATGAGGAGGAGGAGGAGGCACCGTAAGCTGGGTGATGACTGGCTCCTGTGCAAGATTATTTAACAGGATGTGAAGTGAAAATAATGTCAACTGAGGCCCGTATAGTCTGAGTTACGGTTTGGATACGGTTTAAATTGTCAATGCACACATTCGGACAACAGTAATTGAATCAAAATGACTAGTCTCACTTTATTTGGAGTATGTTTTATATTAAGTTATCTTAAACTTATCAGTGGACCTACTGGTAATTGTCTATAATTTATATGATTTATGGTATCTCTTTAGTATAGAATGTAATATGAAACCCCTAAAATAACAGTTCAGGCATTCAGTGTTATATTCTGTTAGTTAATTAAAAAAATAAAAATATAATAAATGAATAATACAAAATAAAATGAATACAAATAAAATAAAAATAAGTAAACAGACCAAGACTAATGCACATGTTAACCTTCAATCTTCTACCAATACACCCTAGTTCAAGTGTAAACAGCCTCTTGTCAATTATTAATAATCGCATTCTCTGGAAGTTCTGAAGTTTGAGCTTTATACGAGCCGCATTCGAATGAATTTTTAAATAATGTTAGGTACTGATTTAAGTCAGATTTTCTGACGTTTTCAGTTTTCTTTTTTAAATAAATCAAAGAATACAAAATTAATATGAACACATAATAAATAATCATCGCCTCCAATACATTTAATGAAGAGGTCGCTGGCTGTTGAATGTTTTATTAGGAACTGAATAGGAAACTCCTTTTTAAATTTTAATTAGTAGACCATTATTGAGGACCCCAATATATGCTTTGCACTTGCTTTACTGGGAGAAGAAAAATAATAGTGACGGACGGTGGCAAAGTCTGTATCGTTGGATTAATGGGATCATTATGGATGAATAATGTTTTACTGTGTACCTTGTACGTACGAGCTCAGGGAGACGTACGAGCTGAGGGAGCAGATGAATCTGTCCTTCTTACTGTGGAACGCTTACTTGGGTAAAACACTTTATACGTTTGCCTTTTCATTTTTTTATTTAAATTTGAACCCATTCATATTCCCATTCATCTTACTAGTGCCCCCCCCCCTTCTAAAAAAGTTTCGCCGGCCCTGGCACCATAAGCACATAGCAGTGATTTAAACAAGAGATCAAAGCATTATTACTCTAATGATCAAAGATACCTACAAAAACAAAGAAAGCTCTTTTGAAGCTCTGAGCCCATTGTTAAGCAAAAGGTGTAGTCTACGTATAGCGAACGCTTCTTTAAACAATAGGATAGACCAGTTTCGGGAGCTGTCAAGAATGTTAGTACTATATAATATTAAACCTAATTTATTACTTACATTACAGACGACATTATCATTTTCAAGTATACCCTTTAATCCTAAAACAAATTGGAATGCCTCACAGTTTTTAACATGATCAAATATAACACTATCAGATCGTGAAGAATGTTCTTTAAGTCTAGTTATTAAGCACCTATCTGTCTTACCAATATAATCACTTTTGCAGCCTGGACATTTAAAATAATAGACAACATAACTTCTGTACTCCTTAGGGGTTTGATCCTTAGTAGATATAAAATGAGAAACATTTTTATACTGCCATAAAGTTATGAATTTTTTCCTCTTTAATTAAGTGTTTCTTTACCTTATTTAAACATCTACGTAAAATGAACTCACCTGGTTTTCCTAGATAAGGCAATCTAACCCAAATCTTAATCAAGCTATCATCAGTAGGCCTATGTATACATTTAGGTTCATTTAATTTCTTAAGTACATTATTAACAACT